TTAATTTTTTTATTTATTAAATTGAAACAAAAAATATTTTTAAAAAATTGCACTTAAAATTTTTCAAGTTTTGTACAAATTAAATTTTTTTGTAATAATTTTTTTAATAAAAAAAAAATTATAAAAATTTTTAGATGTCAGCTAACTAAATTTTCATAATTCAGTATCGTAAATATTAAGTTATTTTAAAATGAATTAATAATAATAATAATTAAAACAAATAAAAATTTTTTTATTGTAGGTCGATCTTAAGGGAGGTCAAGTGAATTAATGAAAGGTATTAGAAGGGTCTTAAATGGAGATACAAGAGAGATTTTACGATGAGGGATAGCGGATGAAGGTTGCCGTGAAAAGCCAATAGCGGTTTTAGTAGTAGCTTTCGGCGATGCCATAGAAAACGGATAGGATAGACGGTGGTTTTGGTCGTTGCGGCATCTTCGGGAGAGGTAACTTTACTACTAAAATTCTCTTTTTGGTTCCTTCTTATATACTCTTACTAAAACCATAGTAAATTACCCTCGGACTTGAGATTGGATGTGTTTAATTACTGGCGAAATATCGTTAATTAGTCAGCCATTTACTCCATCGTTTCGCGAATAAGGATACCAAAGTATACTTATACCACGAGTACTACTTGGAGGTACTTCTCTTTAGTATCGTTGAGTATTCAACCCGATAAAGTTTATCCTTTGCGTAAGAACAAGACGGAGAATAAATAAGGAGGAGTAAGTTGTTGGTAGATAGGTAGATCCAGAGCATCAACTTCATCACGAGCGATCTCCTTAGAAACGAACCGAGCAACCAAGTCCTTTCTCTGCTATCTTGTCTTTAATGCAATCTTCTGTCTTTTACCGTTGCTCCATTATATTTTATTCATAAAATATTTAGCAATCTTATAAGATAAAATAGAGTACTTTTATTCTAACATTTCATTTAATTTTGGTCCAGATAATATTTTATATCAAAATTGTTTATGAATCACTCAATTTTGACTATAAGGACTAATAGAAAATCATATAAGCAAACATCATCGAGCAATTATATCTAGAGGGTTGTTAAAAAACCACAATCAAGTCAACAAGTCACATAAAACGTGATGACGCGTGTCTACAATACACATGTCAGGCGTCCTACGGTTGTAAGCACGCTTTAAAAGACCCCATGGGACTGAAAATAAATAAAATTGTCAAGCCTAAGTGGATTTGTGATTTACTAAAAATATCAACACCTTAAATCTTGACAATTTAAAATAAAAAAGTAAGTAATCTATCTTATTAAATTTTTTTTTTAGAAAAATTCAATGTCATTGCAAAGGTCTTTACTTGAATTTATGCCTTTTCAAAGTTTAATTTCATTCTCATCGGTAATCAATTTATTATGATAAGTATTTAGGCTGCATTCGAAAATACTCTCTCTTTTTAGATACATGATTAAGAAATGACCTCGTATTTTGAGAACTATTGACATTGTTAAAGATATAAGCTCATCCCTATGTTACACTCATCGAGCCCTTTCATTTGAATACCTACATCAATTTTTCATATATTTATATATATGTATATATGAAAAATATATAAAAATGCATGTGGATACTCAAATGAAAGCTCTTGATGAGTGTAAAATCGGGATGAACTTATATCTTTAAAAATGTCAATAGTTAAGAAAGTACAGTGCAATTTAACGTAGTTAAAAAACGACTTTGTATCTTGTCAACTATTGACATTTTTAAAGATATAAGTTCATCCCGATGTTACACTCATCGAGACCTTTCATTTGAGTACCCACATTAATTTTTCATATATACATATATATATTATATATATGTATATATGAAAAATATATGAAAAATTGATGTGGGTACTCAAATGAAAGCTCTTGATGAGTGTAACATCGGGATGAGATTATATTTTTAAAAAAGTCACTATTTAATAAAGCAAAATTTCATTTATTTATAGTTCACAAGTCACGGCAGTTACATAGTGACTGCAAGGTTGCTAGTATTAAATTAAGAAAGAAAAAATTTATTTTGAAAAAAATGAGAAATTTTGGAGTAAGAAATTAATTTTTTGAAAATTTTAATTCTTAGCTAAATAAAAATGTTTTTTGTTGAAAAAAAAATTTTCTAGATTTAGAAAAACCATTTTTAGATGAAATTTTGCAAATTCTCTATTTAAAAATTTTTTTTTTTAATCAAGAAAACTTTTTTAACAATAAAGTTACTGTGAGAAAAATTTTTATTTCTTCAGCTAAAAAAATAATACAGTTACAAATTTTTAACAAATTAATTTTTTAAAAACAATGTCCATTTTAAAAAAAATAATTTTTTTTTTCAGTGCGTATGATTTAAAATTAGATGATTTATAAAGCAAATTAATTTAATGAGAAATAATTTACAGACAAATTTGTTTGATGAGAGAATAATTATTACAGGATTAAATGCAAGATTGATATGGGATTAATTTGTTGATGAACATTGGAATTGAATGAACAGATTTAGGGTTGTGATTTGACTTTAGCGTAAATGAAATCACGTGCTGAGTTTTGGTTGACCCCAAACATTGAGTAGTGCGCCTATAAGATTAGTTTTACATTGTTGTGAGTCTGAAAAGTGATTGGGACGAAAGGGGATGATGACGATAACGATGATTATTATTATTATTATTATACGATAATACTTGGGAATTGGAGTATTGGTATACTAGTCTGATTGTTCCCTCGAGTATACACACATATGATGGGGGCCAACAACTCCATTACACGGTATTACTCTCGAATGAACGGACGCCTTGCTCGACTTCAAACGTGCAATCATCTTACATTCATAAAGTTCTATCATATTCTCTATACTATTATTTTTATTATTTTTTCTTTTCATTTGATTCCTTTAAAAAAATTCGTTCAAACAAAAACCACCCATTTCATTTATGCTGGAGATTAATTCACTGGCATTATTTTTTTATTCTGTTGTTTTTTGTTTTATATAGATTATTTTAAGATGTGGGGAATTTAAAGTTTGCCTGTCGTTCTCTGGAGTGTGATGGTCCGTTATTTCCATCTCAATTAATATTTTAATCAAGCCTCTCTCGCTCATGGACAAGAGAAAATTTGTTCCGTTTACGTGCCCTCAAGCGTTCGTTTCTCTCGCGCGGGCCAATACAATGCCAGGATGCAGCTTTTCCTTCATTATAAACTTTTTTAATATATTTTATTTTTTATTATCAACTATTCAAATATTTTTAACAAAACACTCACTGTTTTTTTTTTTTTTTTTTTCACTGTTGTATTATTTATTTTTAATTTTTATTTAAAAACCATAAAAGCTAATTTACATTATTTAGAGAAGCAAAATTTTGTGGCCAGTATATTTATATGATAAAATGGGTTTTTATGGTTCAATTTGGTATCATTAGAAAGGTCTTAACCTGGAGTTGTGCATTTTCGAGGTTTCATATCATTATCACCAATAGTCAATCTATGATGATAGGTATTTAGGCTGCATTCGAAAATGCTCTATCTCTAGATACATAATTAAGAAATGACCTTGTATCTTGTGAAATATTGACATTTTTAAAGATATAAACTCATCTTCATGTTACACTCATCAAGACCTTTCATTTGAATACCCACATCAATTTTTCATATATTTATATATATATATATATATAAAAAATATATGAAAATCCATGTGGGTACTCAAATGAAAGCTCTTGATTAGTGTAACATCGGGATGAGCTTATATCTTTAAAAACGTCAATAATTAAAAAAGTACAGTGCAATTAAACAAAAGTAATTATTTAATAAAGCAAAATTTTATTCATTTATAGTTCACAAGTCACGGCAGTCACATAGTGACTGCAAAATTGCTAGTTAATTATTACTAATTATCATTTTTTTTGTTAACTAATTTAGATAGCAGACAAATGACCTGGAATAAATTAAAGGCATTGTGGAGATGATGAAGAGTCGATGAGAACTTTAAATAAAGGCATCGGACGTCTGAAAAACTCAGATAGATGGAAGACGAGTATTAAGAGGAGGGAAAACAAGGTACAGACACTAAGAGAAAATTCTAGCGAATCATACCCGGCCGACAGTAAACAATGCCCATTGTCCAGCATATTATTTTCGGCACTCATTCGCTATTTTCTCCTCTCTCTCCTCCAGCACCGCTTCCTCTATCTTCCTTGGTCTGCTTTTTTCCTCCAACTTCCGAGTAAAAAGGAAACTCGTGAATTTTACTCGGCCGTTTCGCGCTCCACGAATGAATGCAGTTCTCTCGGTTTTACTTTTTTTTCACCTTCAATTTTCTTCCTTGTTTTTTATCCATCCGTCGTATCCTCTATCTTCAACGATTTCGGAGCCGTTTGCAAGTATCCTGACCAGCGTGTTACACAATACCCCATTGTTTTCTTCTTTTTGTCATCCTGTTTGTATTTTTCAGTCACCTGTACTGATATTTCTTATTTTTAGTCCTTAAATTATTATTAATAATAATTGTTAAAATTTTTTTTTTATTAAATTTTAAATTCATTACATCAAGTAACATTACACAGAAAAAACTTTGATGTTTTTTTAAATTAAACAATAATTATTTAAGTTAAAGTATTAAAATATTAATTAATTAAATTAAATTAAATTATACGAATAGTACTTTGGTTTTTAAAATTCACAAGCAAGTGTTTTAAATTATTTAAAACAAAAAAAAAACAATGATTAATTAAATCAAGACAAATACTTTTGTAAGACTGTAAAAATAATAATACGAACAATGATAAAATATATTTATAAATTAACGCTTATTATACTGAACTATAATCTAAATTTTTCTTAAGTACTAATTATCACGGATTTAAAATTAACATAGTTCCAGTACGCGGGTTAATTCATAAATTTACATAAAAAAAAAAGGACTAAAAGTTATTATATGTAAGACAAGCATGGCTAAAAAAATAGTAAAAATATTAAAAGATAAAATTAAAAAAGTTTGTTAAAAATGATACTTAATGACAAGCTTGGCTTTGGCCAAACAAATAATTAGATGATGAATAAACATTTGGTGGGACAATAACAGGCATAGTAGAGTTGTTGACCAGTTGGTAGTATACTTCTCGAGATGTTAAATTAATTGCTTGATTTTGAGTCTGATAGAGCTGGCCTTGGAATTCATACATGATTTGATTGTTGCAGACTATTGAAATCTAAAAAAAATTATCAATATATTTGTATTATTTTTAAATAGTATTTTTAAATGAATTATCTTATAAAATTTAAAAATTATTTACCTTACAAATAAATCCAACAGGTACAAACATTTGCATACAAATAAAGTGGCATCGAGCACCAAACTTTTGAGCGATAAAATTTTCTAAAATTTTTTTGTAGTCCGTTGGAATGATACACGGCGGGCTGATTGGAGCTATGGTGACACGACCGATCTCCGGAGAAGTGCTTACAGTCGACGGTAAACTGCGATTAACGTCAGGACTACGTGGTTCAACGTTCTTGGACTTTTTCTTTGTACTCTGACGTTTATTGTTAGTACCATTTGGTTGATTATTCTGGGGAAGAACTTGATTATCGCGGAATTTTTCTGTACCAGCTGCTTCTTGGATTGCGCGCTGTCGCTCTTGTATTTTTGTTGAACCAATTGGCTTAGCCCAGCAAATCTCCCACTGTTGTATTTCTGCAATTCCATTTGGAGCTAAAAAATAGAAAATTGTTTTTCATAAATATTTCCATCCATAAAAAAATTTTATTATTTTTATTTATTAATTATTTACTTTAATTATTAATTAATTATTTTAATTATTAATTATTTATTAATTAATTTAATTATTTTTTATTTACCATTCATGATCTCAAGAACTTTTTTAGCCATTTCACGAGTTTCGTAGTGAACAAAAGCAAAGTGATTAATTTTTTTCAATTTCAGAATCGGTACACCAGTTGTTCTGTGAAAAACTTCACGTACTTTTTGGTGAGGAAGCTCAAGTGGTAAATTTCTGACGAACAAAGCAGTCACCTGAACAAAAAAAATATCACCAGATTAGAGAAAAATTAATAATACTAAAGTAAGCCGACATTTTTAATTATTTTATTTTTTTTTTATTTATTAAATTATAACAAAAAAATATTTTTTTTAATTGCACTTAAAGTTTTCCAAGTTTTTTACAAATAAAATTTTTTTTTTATGACATTATATTTAGCTGGCACAATTTTTTTAATTTTCTTTAATAAATAAATTATGGCAAAAAAAATTATTAAAAAAATGCAATTTTTTAAAAATAATTTTTTGGAACAAATTTTCTTGTTAAAGAAAATTAAAAAATTGTCAAGTGACAGCTAAGCTAAATTTAATGTCATTATTTTTTAGTAATAATTTTTTCAATAAAAAAAAAATAAAAATTTTTAGATGTCAGCTAACTTAATTTTCATGAAAAATTAATGGAAAAAAAAAAAACAATGAAATTAAAAATCTACTTACATTCTCCATAACTTCATCATCTAAAGACTCTCCGGGCTCAGGATCTGCCCAATCAACAGCTACTTCATGGTCCCACAACATAACTCTGCCAGGAATGAGCTTACGTCTTGCCATTGCAGCTGATCGGTGATCTTTAAACTCGACAAAAATGAACCCACGATTTTGTGTACGATCTTGAGCATTTGGATACAAGTAAATGTCTGAAATTCCATCAAGAATTTTCCCCAATTCTTCAACAAACTCAGCTTTTTTTTTATCTTTGGGAACACCTCCAAAGAACAGTCTGCAGTTGTCAATAGATTTAACGACACCAATTTTATGTCCAGGTCTTATTTCATAGCCATCAAGCATAGTACGAGCACGTCGAGCAGTTTTGGCATCTTCATACAGAGCAAACGCGTAGCCACGAGTAGTTCCAGAAAAGTCCAGCATCAACCTCAGCTCCAGCAGACGTCCAGCCTTCTCCAACACCGGCATCAGTTCATCTTCGTAGCAGTTTCGTGGGAGACGTCCCAAAAAGACTTCAGCTCCTTTGATGCGGTCGCGGTACTCCTTGGTAAGCTCTGGAGCTGTCAAACGTCGTTGTCCATTCTCTTGAACTAACTCGTAGTGAGTACGATTCATCAAATCAATCAAACGCTCTGATATACAACACTCATTAGTTTTTTCTACCAACTCACTCATTTCACTCGAATAATTTTCCATAATTTTTAGTTTTTTATTTAATTCAGTACACTTGATTATATTGTAATTATTTAAATTATTTTTACTTGATTGTTTTATTTTTTAACCTAACACAAATCGCGGACTGATTAATTTAATTAAGTCAATCTCTGACCAAAGGTGACTGAGGAATGAGATACTTCCCTCCGAAATGAAATTAAACTGCTAAATTTCTCCCGCTCTCGATTTTAAATTCTCAGAATTGTAGATGGAAAAATTTCGCCAGCCAATCACGTTAAATTTAATAAACTTCTCGGCAACGACAACGCCACTCGTTCCGTTACCTTTCTTTTTAACTTCTAACTCTTTATCCGCTGTAGTCGCGAAGTCAAACAAAGACATTGTAGTGAGAAATTCCGTAGAACTTCAACTGTCGCTCGTTTCGGAGAATTTTTTTGCCTACGCATTTCCGAAAAAAATTGTTTTTATTCAATTTATTAATTCATTTTTTTTATGCACGTGCAATTTGTAGAGAAATAAAATTTAACAAAATTTTTATAATTATAATAATTTAAAAAACAAAGAAAAATTTTTATTTAGCGTCTTGAAATTAGGAGTCATTATTTTTTTTATATGAAAATTAATTTAATAATTTTTAGAATCTTTTTTACAAATAAATTATGGCAAAAAAAATGAAAAACAAAAAAATTGACATGGAGAAATTTTAAAAAATTAAAAATGCAATTTGTTAAAAAAATTAAAAAATTGTCAAGTGACTGCTAACTTTAATGTCATTTTTTTTATTTACATAAAAAATAAAATAATATAAAACACTAAAAAAAAATTGCAATTACAATTTTCTTAAATTTCTAAGGTATGTTATTATTTTTTAATTTCTTTTTCATGATAATTTAAATAAGATACTGAAATTAACAGACATCTGTCAATTTTTTCGATTATTTTACAATGAAAATTAATTTAACCAACATTCAAAAATTTTTTAATTTTTTTTTATTGAAGAAATGACTTTTTATTGAAGAAAAAACGAAAAAAATTTCATTTGTGAAAAACTTTGAAAACTGTAAGTGCAATTTTTTAAAAATATTCTTTTGTGCTAATTTAATTATTAAAAAAAAATTAAAAAATTAAAAACGTCGGCTAACTTTAGTATCATTATTTTACAACTAAATTATTATAAAAATATATTTTAATAAAAAAAATTTCACATCTAGAAATTTTAAACAATTACAAGTGACAATTTTTGAAAAATATTTTTTTTTATAATCAATTTTTAATAACAATACAAAGAATTTTCAGATGTCTAATAATTTCAGTATCATTAAATTATTTATTAAAAAACATTTTGATTTTGATTTTTTACAATTAGATTTAATCGTTATCTCTTTTTGAATAATAATAATAATTATTATAATTATAATCAATAGCTTTTGAAATAATTTTTTCAACTCATATTCATACTTTCTTTTTTGTAAGTACAATGATTCGTTATCATATATATATATATAAAAATTTTTTTTTACTCCAGTATTATGTGTTCAGTTGATGTTTTTAAGTGATGTCTTTTATTAAAATTTTTTTTCAGACTTTAAAAGCACACAAATAAATTGAAAGAAGCTTTTAATTGATTGTCATCGAGCATCCACATACACCCAACGTACTTTGTATGGACGTAAGAGAGTAAGAAGAAGAGCTGGAGCCAGATCAATTGAGTAATGTAAGGCGAGTAACAGAGATAGAACTAGCTTATGAATGCAAAGAATATTTTACGATTCGTCCATTAGCATTGCCGCAAATTTGCGACAAAGCCGAATCCATATTACTCGACATCATATTCCTCTATTTGTTTCTCGCTTGTACTCTCTGTGTATCTTTACTTACTCTTCTGGTAACGTTCTAATACACGGAAAGTCGCGCCGACGCTGAAAGAGACGAGAGGCGGTCCCGCGAGGATGGTAGAACAACGGGGTATATTATAACAATGCTATCCACTGCTCCACAATCACATATATACAGGGGCCCGGCAATAGCCAACTGGAGAAAAGAGGAAGAATCGCATGCAGCCTCTCAGCTCATTGTTTCCGCGAATATCTGCTGACTCCTAGGGGGTATGTATCCCCGACATTCTAAAATAGCATGATGATAATCATCAGCATAAAAAAGTAATAATAAACATTAAACATCCATTGAAAACTTCCAATTAGTATTGTCTTATCCCAATATATCAAATGCGAGATCTGCAAAATCGCATATTCAAACAAAACATTTTTTTATCCCGATTATTATTTTTTTTTTCTTTTTCTTTCAGATCCTGTTTATTTATTTATTTATTCATTTGAACACCAATTGGCATTACACAACAATTAGTACATTTCTTAAATTATTTATTTATTAGTACATTTCTTAAATTCTGCTGATCTTTTTTTTGGAGTAAAGACGCTTATAAAATATAAAACCGTCTGGAAATTAATTAGAAAAAATTTTTGGTAATTATTTACAAGTGGGATCAATCCCATTTTGAGCCAGAACTAGGTGAAAAATTAATATGTTCAACTTTTTTTTTATTTTGCTTGTTTTTACCGCGCATTTATAATAAAAAATGTCTTGAAAGAAGAAAATAAAAATTTCGATAGCTTTTTTGCTTTCAAAAGTTGGAAAAATTTTGGCTCTCATATTTTTGGATGAAATTTCTATTTTCTCCTTTTTTGATGTTTTTAAAATATTTTTCTTTTTTAAAAGTCTATAACAAAACGAACAATTTAAAAAAAAAAATTTGTTAAAATTGTAATAATCAACTTTTTTTTTTTAATTGTTCATTTTTTTAAGTATTTAAAAAAAAAAATATTAATAAAATCAACTAGAAATTTCGTTCAAAAAAATGAAAATTAAAATATCTCCACTTGTAAATATTTACCAAATTTTTCACTAATTAACTCCAAACAATCAGCATTAAAAACACCCAAGTCAGCAAAAAGCAGCTGAATCTAATTGATTATTGGAGCAGTCATTAACAAATGGTATTGGCTGAATAATCAAAAGATTTTCTCTACGCTGGTCATACAGGAAATATATTAACGCGATTGTACAGATTTTGATTAATACGTCTGGGGTGTATCGTGATGATTCTGTGATGTTGAAATACTGCCTCCGGCTTATTATATATGTACCTCTAATATATCTCTATATATGTTCACATATGACTTCTCCGGATATCAGTGGTATGTCAAATTTATGATTAACCACCATTATATTCCGTACTATCGCGTTCACTGGTATTAACACATGTTAATTTAAATGTCACATTTAGCTAGCAGTAGCCAGAGGTACATATATATATCTTTTTTTTTTATTTTAAATTATAATAAAGAAGCACGATGTATATAAAAATGATAAAAGGCTCTTTGGAATAACTTCGATACGAATTACTTCACGACTTTTCTTTTACAATTATTAGACATATAATATGTACAGTAGCTCGTGGGTACTTTTCCAATTAAAACGAATGGTAATGATGAATATAAAAATTCTTTATACTAATGATTCTTTTATATAGTTGCAGCGAATATTAAAGATACAACTTTTTATCATTGGATAAGAGTAAGGGAAAAAAAATTAAAAATTAAAAAACGTATGAAAAAGAAGACATATTACGATTGTCGATCGATTGTCCTCTTTCATTCGGTCCAAACTTTATTTTTTCTTTCAGTACCTTAGATGTAACACACGGAGCTTTGAAGTATTCCGCAAAACTGTTGACAAAGGCACGGAATAATATGCTAATCGTACTTGCCAATCCAGGACTGGAGAGAAAACTACTGTATATAAAGGTATGACAGCTAAGGGATGCTCACCCTCTTACCAGTAAAAAAAAAAAAGAAAAGAAAGTAAAACGCAAAAAAGTCATCCACACAACTTTCTCTCTTGTCTATCCATTAACTCAGTCTCTAAAATTTTATGACTCATTTCTTTTGTCATAAAAATTAATAAAAAAAAATATTTTTTACAGACTATTCGAATTAATATTATTTTTATTATTAAGAGAATAAGCAAAATTTTGTGACCAGTGTATTTATGGTTTTTATGGTTAAATTTGGTATCGTTAAAAAAATCTTGACCTAGGGTTGTGCCATTTCATGGTTTCATATCATTCTCACCAATAGTCAATTTATGATGATGAGTATTTAGGCTGCATTCGAAAATACTCTACATACATAATTGAGAAATGACCTTGTATCTTGTGAACTTTTGACATTTTTAAAGATATAAGCTTATTTCGATGTTACACTCATTAAGACCTTTCATTTGAGTACCTACATTAATTTTTCATATATATTATATATATGTATATATATAGTATATATGAAAAATATATTAAAATGCATGTGGGTACTCAAATGAAAGCTCTTGATGAGTGTACCATCAGGATGAGCTTACATCTTTAAAAATATCAATAATTAAAAAATGGCTTTGTATCTTATGCACGATTGACATTTTTAAAGATATAAGCTCATTCCGATGTTACATTCATTAATACCTTTCATTTAAGTACCCACATCAATTTTTCATATATTTATATATATGACATATATGTATATATGAAAAATATATCAAAATGCATGTGGGTACTCAAACGAAAGCTCTTGATGAGTGTAACATCGGGATGAGCTTATATCTTTAAAAATATCAATAGTTAAGAAAATACAGTGCAATTTAACAAAAGTCATTATTTAGCAAAGACCTTGTATCTTGTGAACTATTGTAATTTTTAACGATATAAGCTCATTCCGACATTTCACTCATCGAGACCTTTCATTTGAGTACCCACATCAATTTTTCAGATATTTATATATATTATATATATGTATATATGAAAAATATATCAAAAATGCATGTGAGTACTCAAATGAAAGCTCTTGA